CTGTTGTAATGTGTTGCACTGTGTAGCTAGGTAGTTAGATCAGGCTGCCCAGGCAAGGAAAAGGTTAACACGTTTCTCTCATTTCGCAGGTTTTCTTGGGCCCCGCCCAAGAGGTCATAAGCCTCATGAATACAGGGGAGGGTTCTTCTCCAGGAGAACAAGAGGCCTGCAAGATGTAGCCAAGAGAGCCTGGAGGGGAGTTCAGAAGTTCTGAGTCGGAGAGCCGTACAGGGAGCCAGCCAGGGCCAGATCTAGCCTGTCCAATGTCGGGCTGCAGTAAAAAATGTCAGGGAGGCAGAGGAAGGGAAATCTGCTGGCAAAGCAGAGGACAGGGGTCACTTCTGGCAGGGCAGAGGACAGGGGTCACTGCTGGCTGGGCAGAGGACAGGGGTCACTTCTGGCAGGGCAGAGGACATGGGTCACTGTTGGCAGGACAGAGGACAGGGGTCACTGCTGGCTGGGCAGAAGACAGGGGTCACTGCTGGCAATGCAGAAGACAGACAGGGCTCACTGCTGGCTGTGCAGAGGACAGGAATCACTGCTGGCAGGGCAGAGGACAGGGGTCACTGCTGGCTGGGCAGAGGACAGGGGTCACTGCTGGCTGGGCAGAGGACAGGGGTCACTTCTGGCAGGGCAGAGGACATGGGTCACTGTTGGCAGGGCAGAGGACAGGGGTCACTGCTGGCTGGGCAGAAGACAGGGGTCACTGCTGGCAATGCAGAAGACAGACAGGGCTCACTGCTGGCTGGGCAGAGGACAGGAATCACTGCTGGCAGGGCAGAGGACAGGGGTCACTGCTGGCTGGGCAGAGGACAGGAGTCACTGCTGGCTGGGCAGAGGACAGGGGTCACTGCTGGCTGGGCAGAGGACAGGGGTCACTGCTGGCTGGGCAGAAGACAGGGGTCACTGCTGGCAATGCAGAAGATAGGGGTCACTGCTGGCTGGGCAGAAGACAGGGGTCACTGCTGGCTGGGCAGAAGACAGGGGTCACTGCTGGCTGGGCAGAAGACAGGGGTCACTGCTGGCAATGCAGAAGACAGACAGGGCTCACTGCTGGCTGGGCAGAGGACAGGAGTCACTGCTGGCAGGGCAGAGGACAGGGGTCACTGCTGGCTGGGCAGAGGACAGGAGTCACTGCTGGCTGGGCAGAGGACAGGGGTCACTGCTGGCTGGGCAGAGGACAGGGGTCACTGCTGGCAGGGCAGAGGACAGGGGTCACTGCTGGCAGGGCAGAGGACAGGGGTCACTGCTGGCAGGGCAGAGGACAGGGGTCACTGCTGGCTGGGCAGAGGACAGGGGTCACTTCTGGCAGAGCAGAGGACAATGGTCGCCGCTAGCAGGGCAGAAGACAGGGCTCACTGCTGGAAGGGCAGAGAACAGGGGTCACTGCTGGAAGGGCAGAGGACAGGGGTCACTGCTGGAAGGGCAGAGGACAGGGGCACAGCTTCTTCTCCCATTCCTGCACAAAGCCTGGGCACAGGCAACAGAGCTCCAAAGGTATCCCCACATGCAGGACATGGTAGGCCCCGCTCACACAGTCGTCAGGTCTAAGAGAGGGTGTTAGGATCTGTTTGTAAGCAGGGGTTAGTACCTGCTTTAGTGAGGTCTCTCCTTTGGATGGGTATGGTCGGCGGAGTAGGTCTAGCCCTATATATTCAGGAGTCAAAGGAGCCTGGGGCAAGAGGCTACCCCTCGTATACTGTTATGTAAGCTGTAGCCTCAGCAAGTGAACCCTTTGTGGGCAGGTCCTCAACAGGTTCTGATGGAGTTAATCAGTTGAAATGCAAAAGCAGTTTAAAGCTGGTTGATGGTCAACTGCAGGTCAGAAGGACCTGCCAATACATTCTGAATCATCTTAGAAGTACCCCAAACCAAGGTCTAATGCAAATAGAATGCACCTGTAAGTAAGCCGAATTTTACCATTCACAAAAGCCCAAACCCATTGACAAAGGTCCTAAATCTCACCAGTGTGGACACAAAGTCAATTAAAAGCTTCACAGAGCTCCCCCCAAAACATTTTAGAAAAAGTATTGGACTTCAGGTACACTTAAATTTCTTTACTTTCTATTGACCTCTGACAATATTTGCGTTGGAGAGTTGGATCCCTTCATGACAGTAGTGCAATAAATCACAGACCGGGCTCTTGACACAGGCACTTCAGTTGTGACAAAAAAACTCATCAGTTCCAAAAGTCAGTCCATATTGAAGTTACAACTATTGCACAGGATAACCAGCTTTAATAATGTTTGGACCAAGTTTGGAAAGTTTGAGTTAAACATTTCCTTCCACCCACCATTAAAAAATGTGTCCTACAACTAATACTGGAAGCAATTGTGTAATGGCCACCCTTAGCTGGTTGCTGGTCCTATTGGCCTAACTCCCACCCCTTCCTCTAGCTCTCCCTTCATCCTCTCCTTCTTCTTCTTCCTAAAAATCCAATTTTTCCACCCTTTCCTTATATGCCCACCCCCTTCCTTCTATTGCTTTTTCAATCTCTACTGTTTTCTATTCCATCCTTTGATTATCTATCTACTTTTTTTTAGATCTTTAGTTTTTTTTTCTACTATGACTCTGGCACCCAACCTGTGGCCCAAGGGTTATATGTGACCCTTTGGTATATGATGTGCGGCCTACAGACCTCAGCTGTCTGTAGCGGGAACATTGATTTAGTGTAATAGCATTGATCTCTATTAGCCTCATGTAAAAGGTTCCCCATTCCATATTGTCTTCTGCAGCACATCCTCAGCCAACAATGTAGCATGTCCACCAGTCTCTGACAGTCCTCTCAAGCATTACATATATTGAACATTATGTGCAGTCCTTTGGTGATGTCAGGGGAGCATTCGAGACCCCCTTTAACTCATAAGTTGACAACCACTGTTCTATGATGTTGGGAAGGTCACATCAAGGTCCATATTGTACAGGCACAGTACACCGTCAGTAATTGTTAAACCAAACATGATGTATACCCAATGCCCACCTGTCACAGTTTGAGTTAACTGTCAATAGATTGCTATGTGCCAAAGTATCACTATATATACATTCACCAACCACTTTATTAGGTACACCTTGATAGTGCCAAGAACCCCCCCCCACACACACACACACCATGACACCACCACCAGCCTGAACTATTGATACAAGGCAGGATGGATCTCCCACACCATGACACCACCACCACCAGCCTGAACCGTGGATACAAGGCAGGATGGATCCTCCACACCATGACACCACCACCACCACCAGCCCAGCCTGAACCATTGATACAAGGCAGGATGGATCCACCACGCCATGACACCACCACCAGCCTGAACCATTGATACAAGGCAGGATGGATCCACCACGCCATGACACCACCACCAGCCTGAACCATGGATACAAGGCAGGATGGATCCACCACGCCAAGACACCACCACCAGCCTGAACCATTGATACAAGGCAGGATGGATCCCACCACACCATGACACCACCACCACCAGCCTGAACCATTGATACAAGGCAGGATGGATCCACCACACCATGACACCACCACCAGCCTGAACCATGGATACAAGGCAGGATGGACCACCACGCCATGACACCACCCACCAGCCTGAACCATGGATACAAGGCAGGATGGATCCACCACGCCAAGACACCACCACCAGCCTGAACCATTGATACAAGGCAGGATGGATCCACCACGCCATGACACCACCACCACCAGCCTGAACCATGGATACAAGGCAGGATGGATCCACCACGCCAAGACACCACCACCAGCCTGAACCATTGATACAAGGCAGGATGGATCCACCACACCATGACACCCACCACCACCAGCCTGAACGATTGATACAAGGCAGGATGGATCCACCACACACCATGACACCACCACCACCAGCCTGAACCGTTGATACAAGGCAGGATGGATCCATGCTTTCATGTTGTTTACGCCAAATTCTGACCCTACCATCTGAATGTCGCAGCTGAAATCCAGACTCATCAGACCTGGCAACATTTTTCCAATCTTCTATTATCCAATTTTGGTGATCCTGTGTGAATTGTAGCCTCTGTTTCCTGTTCTTAGCTGACAGGAGTGGCACCCTATGTGGTGATCTTTCTGCTGCTGTAGCCCATCTGCTTCAAAGTTGGTTGTGTGTTCAGAGATGGTATTCTGCATACCTTGGTTGTAACGAGGGGTTATTGGAGTTACTGTTGCCTTTCTATCATCTGGAACCAGTCTGCCCATTCTCCTCTGACCTCTGACATCAGCAAGGCATTTTCCTCCACACAACTGCCGCTCACTGGATATTTTCTCTTTTTGGACCATTCTCTGTAAACCCTAGAGATGGCTGTGCGTGAAAATCCCATCAGATCAGCAGATTTTTTTAAATATTCAGACCAGCCCATCTGGCACCAACAACCATGCCACGTTCAAAGTCACTTAAATCCCCTTTCTTCCCATTCTGTTGCTCAGTTTGAAATTCAGCAAGTCGTCTTCACCACGGATGCCTAAATGCGTTGAGTTGTTGCCATGTGATTGGCTGATTAGCAAATTTGTGTTACCAAGTAATTGAACAGATTTACCGAATAAAATGGCAGGTGAGTGTAGATAAAAAGCACCTTTATGTGTCTAACCTTTCTTGGCATAGGCTCTTAAAGGCCTCATGTTGGATTGCTGTATCGCACTTGAATTTCTATTTACCATAATGGACACTCAGCTGGAAGAGCTTTGATGGTTTCATGTCCCGCTTGGATGTGGTCCACATTTAAACACTGATACGAGATCCTTTTAATAGGTTTCCTTTGGATATATTAGGATTATTACCTTCGCTTTGTAATGGCCACTATTTACTGGAACTAGACCTTTCCTTTATTTATTGAGTGTTATCTCTCCTGGAGGTGGGATGCGGCTCAATGGACTGTAGCCCGGGCCACGCTGGTCCAAACTTCTAACCATGGGTAAGCTCTGTAGATCCCTGCCCAGTGGCAAGGTTTTTTTTGAGATCTATAAGTATTATATACACTGTATTGCCAAAGGTATTGGGACCCCACCAAATCATGTGATTCAGGTGTTCCAATCCCCTCCATATCATGTGATTCAGGTGTTCCAATCCCCTCCATATCATGTGATTCAGGTGTTCCAATCCCCTCCAAATCATGTGATTCAGGTGTTCCAATCCCCTCCATATCATGTGATTCAGGTGTTCCAATCCCCTCCCAGTCATGTGATTCAGGTGTTCCAATACCCTCCTAGTCATGTGATTCAGGTGTTCCAATCCCCTCCCTATCATGTGATTCAGGTGTTCCAATCCCCCTCCATATCATGTGACAGGTGTTCCAATCCCCTCCATATCATGTGATTCAGGTGTTCCAATCCCCTCCCAATCATGTGATTCAGGTGTTCCAATCCCCTCCATGGACACAGGTGTATACAATCAAGCCCCTAGGCATGCAGGCTGCTTCTACAAACATTGGTGAAAGAATGGGTCGCTCTCAGGATCTCTCGGTGACTCCAAGCGTGGTCCCGTGATAGGTGGCCACCTGGGCAATAAGTCCATCCGGGACATTTCCTGGCTACTAAATATTCCACGCTCAACTGTTAGTGGGATTATAACAAAGTGGAAGCCACTGGGAACAACAGCCACTCAGTGGTAGGCCACGTCACATGACAGAGTGGGGTCAGCACATGTTCCAATTTGGGTTCATCAGCTACTTTTGTTTTCAGCTGCCTAACTGATATCTGAACGGTAAGGTATCTCCACCAAGAGCCACAAGTCCAACATGCCATATTGGAATTATCCCAAAAAGGCACATACCCCACAAAGTCCTCTCCTGTAGTATCTCAAGGTTTTTTTTCTTCCCGCTGAACAACCCTTACGCAACCTACCCATCCTCTCCTTCCCTCTTCTCCCTAAAATCCACTCCCCCCTTTCTTTATATACCTTCCCCTCTCCTCTTTCCATCTCTACTGTTTCCTATTCTGCCTTTTGTTCTTATTCCTTTTTTGAACCTTTAGATCCCGGTCATATCAGTGTGACTTGAAGCAATCATACGGTGCAATTCCGACTTCATCAGAGTTGCACCGATTTTGAAAGGAGTACATGCACTACTTTTTGCAAGTTCAGGTGCACTTGCAGAGACATCTGACCATGAAGTCGCACGGATGTCTTGCAAGTCACACCTGAAGTCACAATGACATCCAACTTTGAAATCCGATTTCAAAGTCAGATTCGGATTGACTGAAGACTTAGTTTCCTTTCATCTTCTATGATGTTAGGAAGAGCACATCAAGGTCCATATCATACAGGGACCTTGCCCCGCTGGCAATTGTTAAACCAAATGTTATGTATACCCACATCTGCCTGTCCCAATTTGGGTTTATCGATTACTTTTGCTTTCATCTGCCTAACCGATGTCTGAATGGCAAAGTATCTCTACGAAGGCCCACAAGTCCAACACACCTTATGGGAATTGTCCCAAAAAAGGTACATACCCCCCAACCAAGTCCCTCTCATGTAGAATGGATTCATAGCACTGGAACCTCATGGTTATCCTACTGGTATTGCTTATCAAATACAGTTGTGGTGGTTTTTGATTTCCACTGACCAACCCCCACCCAACCTGCCCATCCCCGCCTTCTCTCTTCTCCCTAAAATCTCCCTTTTCCCATCCTTTCCCTATATGTCGCTCCCTTCCCCCCTTTTCCCATCCTTTCCCTATATATCCCCCCCTTTCCCATCCTTTCCCTATATATATCCCCCACTTCCCCAGTTTTTTTTTCCCATCCTTTCCCTATATATCCCCCCTTCCCCCCCTTTTCCCATCATTTCCCTATATATCCCCCTTTCCCCATCCTTTCCCAATATATCCCCCCCCCTTCCCACCTTTTCCCATCCTTTCCCTATATATCTCCCCTTCCCCCCTTTTCCCATCCTCTCCCTATATATCCCCCCATTCCCCCTTTTCCCATCCTTTCCCATGTATACCCCCCCTTCCCCCCCTTTTCCCATTCGTTTCCTATATATTGCCCCCCCTTCCCCCCTTTTCCCTTCCTTTCCCTATATATTTTCCCCCCTTTTCCCATTCCCTATATATCCCCCCATTCCCCCTTTTCCCATCCTTTCCCTATATATCCCCCCTTCCTTCCTTTTTCCCATTTGTTTCCTATATATTCCCCCTTTTTCCTATTCGTTTTCTATATATTCCCCCCTTCCCCATCCTTTCCCTATATATCCCCCCTTCCCCCCCTTTTCCCATCCTTTCCCTATATATCCCCCCTTCCCCCCCTTTTCCCATCCTTTCCCTATATATCCCCCCTTCCTCCCTTTTCCCATTTGTTTCCTATATATCCCCCCTTCCTCCCTTTTCCCATTTGTTTCCTATATATCCCCCCTTCCTCCCTTTTCCCATTTGTTTCCTATATATTCCCCCCTTTCCCCCCTTTTCCCATTCGTTTTCTATATATTCCTCCCTTCCCCCCCTTTTCCCATCCTTTCCCTATATATCCCCCCTTGCCCCCCCCCCCCCTTTTCCCCATCCTTTCCCTATATATATCCCCTTCCCCCCCTTTTCCCCTCCTTTCCCTATATTTCCCCTCTTCCCCCCTTTTCCCATCCTTTACCTATATATCCCCCCTTCCCCCCCCTTTTCCCATCCTTTCCCTATATATCCCCCCCTTTCCCCATCCTTTCCCTATATATCCCCCCTCCCCCCCTTTTCCCCTCCTTTCCCTATATATCCCCCCTTCCCCCCTTTTCCCATCCTTTCCCTATATATCCCCCCCCCCTTCCCCCATCCTTTCCCTATATATCCCCCTTTCCCCCCCTTTCCCCCTCCTTTCCCTATATATCCCCCCTCCCCCCCTTATCCGATCATTTCCCTATATATCCCCCCTTTCCCCCCTTTTCCCATCCTTTCCCTATATATCCCCCCCTTTTCCCATCCTTTACCTATATATCCCCCCTTCCCCCCTTTTCCCATCCTTTCCCTATATATCCCCCCCTTCCCCCCTCCTTTCCCTATATATCCCCCCTTTTTCCCCTCCTTTCCCTATATATCCCCCCCCTCCCCCCCTTATCCGATCATTTCCCTATATATCCCCCCTTCCCCCTTTCTATTACTTTTCCATCTCTATGGTTTTCTGTTCTGCCCTTTGCTCATCTTATTCTTTTTACGGACCTTTATTTTCCTTCGATCTTCTATGATATTGGAAAGATCACATCAAGGTCCGTATGACACGGGGACATTGCACCCCCAGTAAATTCTTCACCCTGCGCTTTATGTGTGCCCACGTCTGCGTGTCACAGTGTGCGTTTATCGATTATTTTTTTACGTCATCCGCATTGTATTGATGGTGATCAAACATTTACTGCACCGGATTTTGTATAATGTATTCTGCGCACAATAAAATTGTATTGAAAAGAAAGAAACAATGTTTCAACATCAAAAGGAACTTTTTATTCATATAAGAATAACATAATGCATAATGGAGCAGGTAGAGCGCAACAGCCTGGCACACAGCCTTGAGCGCTCTGCAGGGGGGGCATTACCAGGGGCCAGCAGTTCTGCAGATGTCCAATCAGAGCTTCGAAGGGACTGTGGAGTGGAGGATCTGATCGGCCATCCGCAGAACCGCTCGCTCAGTTACTGTCCCCTCCTGCAGAGTGCTCAAGGCTATGTACTAAGCTATTGTTTTACCTACTAATGTGAGTGAATTATGTTGTTTATTTATGTTGTAACGCCCAGAAAAGTGTGAGAGACACTCTCAGCGGTCATAGGAACCGGGCTCCCATTAGAAATCATGGGGCTCATACAGCCTACCTGACCGACCTCCACCCTCACAGGGCACAATAAATTGCATGATATTCAACATCATGGGACAATATAAAATTGTGCAATACGGTAGGAAGATGCACACATTATGGGGTTGGTTATGGAGCATCACACTTCACTTTGGAATGCTGGCAGGACCCTGCATAGGTAGCAGAATGAGGGCTGAAACCAGAAACAGATGGATAGCCTAGCCATGAATTGCCGCAGGGGACAGGCTAGCCGTGAATGGCTACAGGAGACAGGCTGGCCGTGATTGGCACAGGAGACAGGCTGGCCATGGCCACAGGACAGGCTGGCCATGAATGGCCACAGGAGACAGGCTGGCCGTGAATGGCCACAGGAGACAGGCTGGCCGTGAATGGCCACAGGAGACAGGCTGGCCATGAATGGCCACAGGAGACAGGCTGGCCGTGAATGGCCACAGCTGGCCATGAAGGCTGAGACCTGGTCATGAATTGCCACAGGAGACAGGCTGGCCATGAATTGCCACAGGAGACAGGCTGGTCATGAATAGCCACAGGAGACAGGCTGGCCATGAATAGCCACAGGGTCAGGCTGGTCATGAATAGCCACAGGAGACAGGCTGGCCACAGGAGACATGGAAGAGCCACAGGAGACAGGCTGGCCATGAATTGCCACAGGAGACAGGCTGGTCATGAATAGCCACAGGAGACAGGCTGGCCATGGCCACAGGAGACAGGCTGGCCATGAATAGCCACAGGGCCACAGAATAGACAGAGCTGGCCATGAATTGCCACAGGAGACAGGGCTGGTCATGAATAGCCACAGGAGACAGGCTGGCCATGAATAGCCACAGGGTCAGGCTGGTCATGAATAGCCACAGGAGACAGGCTGGCCATGAATAGCCACAGGAGACAGGCTGGCCATGAATGGCCACAGGAGACAGGCTGGCCATGAAAAGCCACAGGAGACAGGCTGGCCATGAGGGACAGGATAGCAATGAATAACTATGGGGATCAGGCTGGCTAAATAATGTCCAGAGGACAGGCTGGACACTGCATTGGTAGCAGAACAACTGGTAAAACCAGAGACAAATGGACAACCTAGCCATGACTGGCTGCAGGGGACAGGCTGGCCGTGAATGGTCACAGGAAACAGGCTGGCCGTGAATGGCCACAGGAGACAGGCTGAACGTGAATGGCCACAGGAGACAGGCTGGCCGTGAATGGTCCCAGGAGACAGGCTGGCCGTGAATGGCCACAGGAGACAGGCTGGCCGTGAATGGCCACAGGAGACAGGCTGGCCGTGAATGGCCACAGGAGACAGGCTGGCCATGAATGGATACAGGAGACAGGCTGGCCGTGAATGGCTACAGGAGACAGGCTGGCCGTGAATGGCCACAGGAGACAGGCTGGCCGTGAATAGCCACAGGAGACAGGACTGGCCGTGAATAGCCACAGGAGACAGACTGGCCATGAATAGCCACAGGAGACAGGCTGGCCATGAGGGCTAGGATAGCCATGAATAACTATGGGGATCAGGTTGGCTACATAATGTCCAGAGGACAGGCTGGACACTGCATAGGTAGCAGAACAAGTGGTAAAACCAGAGACAAATGGACAACCTAGCCATGACTGGCTGTAGGGGACAGGCTGGATGTGAATGGCCACAGGAGACAGGCTGAACATGAATGGCCACAGGAAACAGGCTGGCCGTGAATGGTCCCAGGAGACAGGATGGCCGTGAATGGCCACAGGAGACAGGCTGGCCGTGAATGGCCACAGGAGACAGGCTGGCCATGAATGGCCACAGGAGACAGGCTGGCCGTGAATGGCCACAGGAGATAGGCTGGCAGT